CTCCACGAGGGTCCCGAGCAACCGAATCAATTGAGATTTCTTCTCAAAGGCAGGCTCCCTTGAGGGATCCCATTTTGTTTGTTGTCCAAAGCTTTCTTAGTCACAATGTTTTTGTTTTCATGTCAGCTGATTACAGCAGGACACTTTTCAGCAGTGGAGGGTTTGAGTGTGTTTTTTAATAGTCTGTATATTTATTTTGAGTAGTTTTATTTTGGAAGATATTTATTTCACTACATTTAAAAAAATAATAGCATACTTTTTATTTCAGTTATACACTCAAAACAATTATGTTTGCTGTTTGTTCAAAATACTTATCTAAAATGAGCTGATGCAACCAAATTCTTGAGTCGATGAAAACTTAATTGTTTTATGTTCAATCCATCTAAATTTAAAGTTAAAAAAAAGTTAATTTCTTCATGTCTCAACACAAATTTACACTGCAAAAAATGCTGGGTTCCACAAAATTCCTTCATGTTGTCCAACCACAAATCAATAAAATAAAGGTTCAGTATGGTGATCTGCCAAAATGCTAAGGTTAGCTTTGAAAACACAGTCCCTCCCCTGCCATCCAACGCCAAGTCTCCTGAAATCACAAACGTGCACCGTAACACAGTAGACAATCCACTTGTTCATGTCATTCGTCTGTTAGAAAACTTAATAATATTTATAATGCTACAGTTATAATTGAAAAACTGTATTATATCTAGCACGTTTTCAGTTGTGTGGCAAGCAAAATTTGTCATAATGTGGTCTCACTCTCTCTTACAGGAATTTGACTTATTACTAAGCCATACTGACAAGCTATTTCAGACCAAATATTCAAAGTAGCATCATGGTAAACAATATAGAGAGTGCGTCACAGGTTGTCATTGTTCAAAAACTGAACCAATGTCTATATAAAACCAACTTCATCTCAGTAAACAGGCTAGGCGTAATAGTGCTATTTACTGATGTTTTGTTGTTAAACTAAATAAAAATCTACATTAAGATGCTGTAAAAGGTCCTTATGAAATTAAAAATAGTCACATCAGTCTTTCCCCGGAAGATTTCCGTGGCTGAACAACACTTCCGTGCATATAGCCCATTCTTAAAACAACAATATTTACATAAGCTTTGCAAGACTAAAATAGTGTTAAAACATAACATTACCTGTCTAAAAGAAATACTTCAACCATGGTGTCATCCTTCCTCCAGGTTGCAAAAGTAACTCCAATATTAATTCATAATTTTAAAAGATTTTGATTCATTTGTTTTTTATCACTGTCACTCTCTCGTGTGCACGTGAATGGCTTCGTAGATATACAAATTTACATTTATGGAAAGATAGTTTGGGTTCTTATAAGAATTATGGGAATTATCAGCCTGACAAATTTTAACTGGATTATTATTATTTATTTATTTTTAAAAAAAATTTGGTCTTTTGCCTTACTCAGAATATAAAAATATAATTAGATCATTTACTGTACTTTAATCATTACTATGGAATGTGAAGAGACTTTCAAGCAGCACAACAAAAAATGTTTTTTAAAGTCAATCATCTACTGCACCTTTAACTGGTTTTACAAATTTTAGTGGTTTGAACATAAAACAATTAAGTTGTTACATAAAACTCAAAGATTGTGTTGATTCAGCTCATTTTAAGTAAATAGTTTTAACAAGCAGCAAAAAAAATTTTTTAAGTGTAGTCTGAGATCAAGAAATTGTCCGAGACACGAAAGCAAGGGTTTGATTCATGAAATGATTCATGAGGTTTGATTGTTATGGTGATTCTCCAGTTAACAATTCACTGAATTCACAACAACTTAATAATTGTACTCATTTTAATAGGGTTTCTGTATTCAATTTGTGCATTTTGTCTGGTTACCCCTCAGATGCTTAGTGACACAGGATATCATTCACCACCCTTCATTAATTTTTAAAGTTAGACGGCATCTATTTTATTATTCCTCAATCTAATCATTATAAAAAATATAAATACAACAACAAATAAGTATTGTTTATTTCCACATTATTATGTTTAAGTACATTATTATCCCGTTAGAGAGCTGTCCATGTTATAAATGTGACACTGGATGCCAAAGCAAGTCTTATGTTGCAAAGTTATATTTGTGGGAATAAAAAAAAAATTAGTCAAAATTATCTATTTATATTTTGAGCCAAATTTCTATAATATTAAAGATGATTTTTAAAATGACATTTTGTAAATTTTCTTTTAAATTTCCTTTCCTTTTAAATTAGATGTTTGGTTAGTTACACTGCTAAGAACTTAAGTTTGACAACTTTAAAATGGATTTTCTCAATGTTATAATATAATTATTTTTCGGAATTTTGGTCAAATTTTATTCTATACTAACAATTTAAACAACAATGGAAAGTGTATTTATCCAGCTTTCAGATCATATAGCAATATAATAGATACTCATAAATAATAATTGATAATTTCCCCCCCAAAAAATGACACTTGGGGTTGAAATCCAAGGTCACACATAAGATTATAAAGATCTGAATAATCAATAAAGATTTGTGAAAGATCCATGCACCTTAGTGGTAAAATGTAATTTTAAGTACATTTTGATAAAAAAAAATGCTCATGCTTATACACTGAAGCAGTAAATGTGAATGAATGTTCAGAGAAAAGAAAAAGGAAAATATTTAGCAGAAAGAAGTACAACATCAAAGCTTCTTGTCGTAAAGGGGTTTACTGTGCATTAACCTCTATTAGTCAGGAGTAGATGCTGGTAATTGCAATTCCATGTTTTGCTTTTGCTCTGTCATCATTAAAATCTTCCCAAGAGCAAACAGCAGGCTCCACAAATATATTACATCCATCCGAGTGGTGGTTTTGTCACTCCTGTTTAAATCCAGTTTAGCTGTTTGTTTGACTTTAGACAATAACAGTTCACTTTACTGACTAACATGTGCAATATTTTTCTTCTCTGGCTTGTTATGTAATGTTGAATACACACTGAACTCTGGCAGAAACCTGTGTTCCAAGGAAAGATTTTCCACTTGGAAATCCACGTGTGGATGAGGCCCATTGTGGTAAAGTGCCAGAATTTGACTTGTTGTCTTTCTCAAATCCTCACAACTCTTAGTGCTTGCAGAGAAGGATACAGAGCAAAGTTAGACATTTCACAATAATTAAAGTAATGTAAAATTATATTTATATTACTTTGGTTATTGTTTATTTTAAAGTATCCTTGTTAGTGTGACTCATTTAACTACTAAGTAATATTAATTATTGCACGCATGTGCTTACTGTTAAAGGATTAGAATGTGGGTTAGGTTTAGGGTTAGTTGCATCTAATTATACATAATTAATTGTAATTGCTATAGTATGTACATGGAACATGTGAAATAAAGACACCTTAAAGTGTTACAAATATTTGCTATAGTTATAAGATTAACTTAGATTGCCCTAAAAACAACTGGTTTTGCATCACAATTATTATCAGGATAATACTGCAGTTGGAAGATAATAAGGTCATACAGAACTCTGAAAAAAATTAGGTGACAATTTTCATTTTTATTTTATTGGGTATGAGTTTGAGTATGTGTTAACTCTTTAAGTTAGTACTAATTAGTTGTTATTAATGATTAACTATTAAATTGGCAAATTATCTGAAAGCTGAATAAATAAACTTTCCATTGTTGTATAAGTTGTTAGGGTAGAACAATGTTTGACTTTTAGAAAAATCTAAATATTGACAAAAAAGTATTGTATTTAAAATGTAATACAAATATTTCACACTGTATTTTTTGTGCAACAAAAACATAATAATGAAATGCTGTAAATGACACACAATCTATTTTAAATTGGGGGCGGGGGTGCTATAACTTGTTTCCAGAACAATTATCAAATAATATATGTATATATACTTTTATATACACTGTTAATCTTAAAACCAATAAAACATATTGTTAAATGTGAAAAACTGATACAGTGCTCAGCATACAGTTGAAGTCAGAATTATCAGACCCCCTGAATTATTAGCTGCCCTGTTCATTTTTCCCCAATTTCTTTTTAAAGGAGAGCAGATTTATTCCACATTTGTGTACATAATAGTTTTAATAACTCATTTCTAATAACCAATTTATTTTATCTTTGCCATGATGACAGTACATAATATTTGACTAGATGTTTTTCAAGACACTTCTATACAGCTTAAGGTGACATTTCAGTGCTTAACTAGGGTAATTAGGGAAGTTATTGTACAACGATGGCTTGTTTTGTAGACTATTGAAAAAAATATGTTTGGTGGCTGAAATATTATTTTAATAAATATATCTGTTTTGTTTAAATGCACCAAAATACATATTTAATGAGAAATGGATAAACATATTAATTATCAAATTGGGGTGTACTCAATTGTGCTGAGCAGGATGCATACGTTTACATGAATTTCTGTTTGGTACTTTTATAAATTGAGGTGAAATGTATGCTAGTTATAGTAAGGACATCCAAATGTTATCCATAAGATCAATTCAAATTCTGGGAATACATTTAGGAGCTGTTAACTTTACACAATCTGTTTCCTTTTCGGCATATTAACATCTAAATCTATATGTAATGACAATATTGTTCCATCCTTAAATGAACAAAAGCAAGCAGCCGGCTGTTTCCATGGTTACCTCATATGAACCTTTTCCCTGTTCAGGTAAAAAGCGCTTTGTCTAACTTGTCTAAATTTATTGTGCTTGAAGAACAGATTTGAAAGCAAATTAAATTTTAAGATATCCAATATAGGATTTCATCACACCCTTTATATAACTTAAGCTTGATGTTTTGAAGAAGGGGACACGCGTCGTCCAGACCACACAACTTTTACGCCAAATGTATTTATTCGATATTTGTTTACATAACTAGGTCGATTCCATGTGCAGTCAGCTCAAACTAGTTTCATTGTCAGATGGTTCCATTGCTCAATCCATTATCCTACTGTACGTGCCTTTTGCCAACAACTGAACCAACAGACCTAAACTAAAGGACGTGTCCGGCCGAATGGATGCCGGTAACCGATCTCATCAGCCCGTGAGGGAGGGATGAGATATTCCCGTGGGATGATCACGTGTCCGTGGGGAGTAGTTGTGTGTGTGGAGCCCTTGGAATCGGAGGTGTAGCGTCAAGCGCGTCGTCCAGACTTCATTGTTACTGTAAGGAAGCTGTCAACTGTATTTGCGCGTGTTTATTGCTTTGCTGAAAGCGAAAGAAAATGCACGTGAGGAGAGGGGATCTGACGACCGATTTACATAAACTTCTGCGCGCATCTCAGTCGCAACAAACGCACTCAGCGTGATCGGTGAAAAATCAACACTGCTGTTTACTGTTCTTGCTACGCGAAATACAGATCACTGCCACTGCACATCAAGGTAAGTACGGGCATTTCTACAGTTTTAGAAGTTTTAGGACGCAATTAAAACGCAACAGAATGTTTGGTATATGCTATAATGTGTCTTAAAACAGAAAGATAAACAACTCGTGAAACATTTTAGATTATATCGAAGTTAAATAAAGTTCTCTTTCAGTCTTAATTTTTCACACATTGTTTGTAGCGTATTTGTGCGTGTTGTTTTCTATAGCCACACTGTACTAAATGAAAATACAGCAGGTAGCATACATGTGACTTCATCGGTGATGAAAGCTTCTGGATAATGTGCAAGAACACCATGATCCCATTTTTGCCTCTGTCTAGCTTTTTTGGGTTTCTTTCCAGAGATTCTGGTTGTCCATTTTTGCATTAACCCCATGAATTCCAAGGTTTTAGTTGTTAGAGTGGTTCAAGATACTTTAAAACCCTGAAGTTAACCATGCATTATAGGCTAGTAAAACTGTAGGTCATATTAATTAGTTTTTGTATGACCTAGATTTTACTAAAATAGTATGGTTAAAACATTGGTTTAGCAAAAGCATTGTGAAATTGAGACCAAAACATAATACATTTTTCATCAGGGAAAGCTTTTCACATTCACCTTTATGGTTTGTTATTTCATGCCACCATGTAACTGTAAATAATTATTATAAAACATATTTTGGCTGCACTACAAACTGAAATGTATTTCTTGACATCAGATACTATTTTAAGCTTTGTAAATCACTACATGTCACTATTGATTACATTAAAATAAGACAAAAACTAAAGCAATTGTCCACATTGCTGCTGTATTTAAATTGTGTCCTCATTTATTCACCCTCATTCCAGAATTTTTTCTAAAAGAAGAAGCTCTTTTTCCTGTGGAACTAAGGAAACTGTGGAACTAACTAACTAACTTATATTATATATATATATATATATATATATATATATATATATATATATATATATATATATATATTCATATATATGAAGGCTGCTTTTTATTGTAATATTTATGGATAACTGAAGCTATCACCTTCAAATGACAAAGAAAATATAAAAGTGGCCCATACAACACCAAAAAAGGATAAAATTTAAGTTATGGTTTACTCAAAAACCAATATAATGAAACCAATTGCTCTTTACAATTGCCCACACTATTCGCAGTATTACTCCTTCTATACAGTACTGTCCTTTGGATGAGTGAATGAAAACAAGTAAACAAATGTGTACACTAAAGATGAGGTGAGATGTGGGATTCATCACAGCATGCAAAATGGCTTGCCAGTCATATGTACTTTAGCTGAACACTCATTGTGAGATGCATTGTGGGATTGAATTAGTTCACTACAAAGAACTGTTCTTTCAGACAGTATAGTGGACAAAATCATTCAGTTAAAAACAAAAACCAGTATACAGGTTGATTTATGTGCTTCTAGAACTGGTTGTAAATGCCTGACCAAACAAAATTGTAATATGCAAGACCACTGAAAATTCATGTTGAATATAAACCATACAGTAGCTTGCTAATCAACAATATGCTAAGCTATGTTACTTTTTAGTTTGAAAATGGCTAATTTCTTTTTTGTATTCTACAGTGAATGTAAATAATGACAGAATTTACTACTATTCCTTTATACCCGCATCTTCTGCTGCTAGTATGTTTGTCCACATCTTAAACAGAATTGACATCCTCTGTTCCCACCGCTGAAATATCAGAACTGTGTGGAGGTGTACCTGCCCTTAGCAATGAGGAAGCACATTTGCACGCCTCCGTCTTGAAAATGTTTTTCATTCAGAGCAGTTCACTGGGCTATTTGTTTGTAGCCAGTTGATTTCCATATTACATCTGAATATATAACAAAGGTTACAATGCATTGTTGTGAACTGCAAGGGTTATTTTGATGGCATTTTCTTCATAAAAGTACCCTCATCCCCATAGTAACGCTGAGCTATACTGTACTGTATATCCACAGGAGACCGATACCTGTGCCACTTGCTGTGCTGTCAGCATTGATATGACATTCATGTGGTTAGATGTATTTCAGGCATAACGGTTTACAGTGCAGCTTTTCACTTGGAAAGAGTCCCAGAAGCTTTATTTAAGTTATGTGCTAGTAATAATAAGACTTGCTTATATGATATGTTTGTTATTGAGGAAGTGACTCTTTTAGAACGAGTGGTATCGTGTTGGCATTTGCCTTAAGATGCTGTTAAAAGGTGCCCAGAACTGTGGTTGAAAGGGGCTACTTTAGTGTTGTTTCAGCCTTTCTTCTGTTTATGCTGAGTAGTCTCAACTTCCTGCCAGTATTGTAGGGCATTCTTAAACTGGCAACAAACATCCAATTTAGACCACCCGAGTCTTATGTGACAAATCTGTGGCCATATGAAGACTTTGCTGCAGTGGATCGTCTTAAGTAATTATGTGGAAAAAAATGAAATAAATAAAAATCAAAGAGCCTCCATTCCTTCTCAACCACTGGCGCTTTTGCAGCTCCAAAGAGAAGAAAAGTTTCTCGATATTAAAAAGCACAGAAGGTAATTTTCCATGGCTGACCTGCTGTGCCAAATGTATTTCTTGAGGGTATGTACTATTCTTATCTCGGGCAAGGCAGCTTGAGAAAGGTTGCTAAAAAGCTGGAGGATATATCTACTGAAAAAATATTGAGATGTGTTTTAGATATGTTCCATGATGCTGGTGGAGATCAGGAAGGGGGTCCATTAATGTTGTTAGCTTCTCGTCAGGGGTCTAATATTCAATTAGAGAGTCTCGCACTCTTGCCAGAACTTATGTAAATGAGGCCTCAAGGTTGGTAAAAATGTCTTTTAATAAGCATTTCTGTAGTTTACTTTATCAATGAGCCGAAATCACTTGACAAAGGCTTGCTGTGATGATGGTTGTAGTAATGTTGTTATTATTTCCGTTGGCGGCTTGTGGCCTTATCTTTCTTTTTTAAAACTTGTTAGTATATCCAGTATGTGATCTCACACTGATTTACTGCTCATATTGTGGTTTTTGGTTATACTTAGTGTGGTGATTTAAACTCTCCTACTGTTTTCACTCTGTATATTGAGCTCTCATTGAATGATGGCTCAATGGGGCTGGCGGCATAGCAGGCCATCTCATAATGCACATAGTTTTCTTTTTTCTTTTTCACAGAGAGACTTCAAATAATACAGCTCTGTTGAAATGGCTATGACTAATTTTGTTTTGAGCCAGAGTCAAGATGAGGTGAAGTTGGGCTTTTTTTATTTATTTATTTATTTTCAGAGCGGTTCATCAAATGCCCAGGGCTGGCCAAGCTTCATATTGAGTTTTGGAAATAAACCTTTCATACCAAATAAACTCAGGCTGACTTTACTTTTATTCTAGTTTATAGTGGATTCAAATCATGATATCTGTTCTTAAGTGTCATTAAATATAGTTTTCAGAATTTTAATTAAAGCTTCACCCATGCTTTCAGTTTCAGTTGGAAACAGATACAGTATAGCCTGAATCCACTGGATAAACTGAAGAAGAAAAATCCCCCAATTCTGTAATCTTTATTTAAAGAAATTACATTTGCAGTCTTGGATAATAGAGAAGATTACCAACAACATTTTCTTCTTATTAATTAAATTAAATATTCCATTCGAATTTCATTACTTGGTGTTGGGTTGTGGCTGGAAGGGATCTGCTGCTTAAAACACATGCCGGATAAGTTAGCGGTTCATTCCGCTAGGGTGAACCATTACAATTAAAGGGACTAAGCCGAAAGAGAAATGAATGGATGAATATGAATTTTAGCTTTTGAAATTTATAATGAACTCTACACTCTGAAAGTTCTTTATTGGCATTGATGGTTACAGCATAGCCTGAATCCACTGGATAAATTAAAGAAAAAAAAAACCCTACTCTACAATGATTATTAAAATAAGTTGCATTTAAAGTTTAGGATAACACTGAAAGTTGCAAAGAACATTGGTATTTTTATTATTATTAATTTAAAGATTAGATAAGAATTTTACTTGGACAGCTTTAAAGTTTATGATGGACTCTTACACTCTTAAAACTAAAGGTTCTTTATTGGCATTGATGTTAACCTTTATCATTGAAGAGCCTCTATCATCGGTTTTTGAAAATGAGCTTCCATGCAGTATGTAACACAGCTCTAAGTGAATGAAAACATCCAGCTGAAGTTTAAATCTGAAAGTGCACCATGTTTAAAAGTATTGATTCTTTAACAAAATAGTCAACTTAGAGTCGAATAATTGAATTGTGTTGGGTTCGGATCTTCTGCTTTAATGTGTCGACATCGATACGGTGCATCACCATTCACCATCACATGCGTTTCTCTTCAGACACTAGCGGAGCACAGGGGTCTACAGGAATGATCGTGATCCGAATCTGACTGATGGAGAATTGGCTACATGGGGGTTAAAGTTTATTTTTACAACAATTTCACATTATAGCAAACCTAGTGCTGGGTTTGCTCCTTTCATTTTTCTCATTTTTGATGGAATAACCTACAGTAGTTAGCTTACTATTAAAGGAAGGAGCAGCAGAGACTATTATGCATGGGAGTTTGTCAGTAACTGTTACAGTTCATATGGACCAGTTACTTCTTCCTCCAGATCATAACATGCAAGTGTAATTAAAATTGTTGCCTCGTTTTGTGTAGTTTGCAAAAAATGCATTTAATTGTGTGTTGTAACTTGTAATTGCTCTGTGTGGCTTGCAATCACTTATCTTTTATACATCCGTGCTTGTACTGTGCCTCTCAGGTTAAATCTTTATGGGACTATTCACATATTGTGTCCAAAACAATGTTGAAAATGTCACACGTGCTTCTCCCTTTACTGATAAAAATGCATTTCTAAACTCGCAATCCTCTGCCGTTTGTCTTTATTATGGCCACCATCATTCTTACACAAGCGTGACGTGGTCAATTTTCAAAATAGTTCTACATACTTCATAGCCGTGGTGGGCGTTTCTTTCTGTCTCGCTCTGAACCCAGTCGACCAATCACAACAGAC